CTCAGTCTCTCCTCCCTCTCTCTGTCCTACTCTCTCTCCCCTCCCTCCTCCCTCTCTCTGTCCTACTCTCTCTCCCCTCCCTCTCTCTGTGTCCTGCTCTTCCTTCCCCCTCTTCCTCTCCAACTCCGCCTCTCTCTCTCTCTCTCTCGCCCTCTTCCCCAACTCAACAGGAGGCGGTAATCTGTCACATCACAGGATGCCCAGGGGAGGTAAGCCCACTTTCTCTCGTCCCCTTCAGCTGGAACATTTGACACCCTGACCTTGACACACATTCACGTGACCTTCACCTCGCAACAGCGGCCGGGTTGAAGAGTAAGCGCTGATGAGACACCCTGTGGGTGTTTTGGGAGGAGAGAGAGAGATGGAGAGACAGAGAGCGATGGAACGAGAGAGGGAAGGAGGGGGAGAGAGACAGAGAGATGGAGAGAGAGACAAAGATAAAGAGAGAGAGAAGGAGAGATGGAGAGAGAGAAAAGGAGATATGGAGAGAGAGAGAGGAGAAAGAGATGGAGAGATAGGGAAGGAAGGAGGGAGAGAGAAAGAGAGAGATATACAGTAGGAGGGAGAGAGAAAGAGAAAGAGAAAAAGGGATAGAAAGAGAAGCTGGGGAGGAATAGAAAAGGGAAGTGGGAATGAAATATGGGAGGGGATACAACATCTTGGCCCTCATATGACCTTATGCAGTTGCGAGCTCCGTAAAACCTTACAAAAACAAAAACAACATTCTTGTAGATAGGTGTAAGAAAAAAAAACAACAAACTTAAAAAAAATTCATTAGAAGAGTATACAGCTCATGTTTTCTAGATCTACCTACCACAGCAAAGAGCCTTGTCATAGCAGTTATTACAGACATCATTACAGCTAGAGAGTGGACTGTAGTCATTTTTGACGGGAGAACAGAACATGGTCATTTATTGACTAAAGAATAGACAGTGGTCACTTACAGGCAAGTGGTCACTCATAGGCTTAAGAGGTCATTTATGGGTTAAAGAGGGGACGGCAGTCATTCATTGACTATAGAGTGAACAGCGGTCACTTACTGGCTTCAGCGGCGGCCCGGGGCGAGTGTGAGTTGACCACAACATGGCCGCTGGCTCCGCTGGTGCTGCCCGGCCGACGCTGGTGAGAGAGGAACGTGCTCAGGTCCTCGTCTGCCGAATCGTCTTCGTCGTCCTCGCTGAAACACAGAGGCAAAATACACACTTTGGTACAGATATGCATACATGCATAATATGTTGACTGCTTAGTGAAAGATTCTGCCATACTCCATTTTGAAAAGAGACGTATGACGGAGTTTTACACTCAGCAGTTGATATGTCACAGGAGTTTTTTAAGAGTACTTTATATATTCCACCAGACCCACACACGCACTACAACATTCACAAACACGTGCACACACATAACAACATTTGACTTATTCATTTCCTTTTCCTCTCTGAAATGTACAGACACACCCAAAACAAAAAAGTAAGTTACATAAAAATTTAGCCGTTTCTACCCAAATGAAATTATAGATCTAGTGTTTTATATAAACTTATGTATTTTTTCGGTGCTAATGTTGGTGTTTTTATGCCCCCATTGACACACTTCAGATAATTTCAGAGGCAGACTTCTGACCCTGCCTGTCACGGCCAATTCGGGCTGAGATGTATACAAAATCCCAAAAGAAAGACCGAGATACTTGATAAAAATTATCTCCCCACTTAGGAATCGCGTTCGGGTCTTCTGTGAAACAGCGGAGTGCCCAACCGCTACACCACAGACGCCGGTTTCTAGTCTGTTTCTACCCTTACAAATTATACTAGTTTAAAAAAACCAATTTTAGTCGTTTGTACTCAACCAAATTATAATAGCCATGACTGACAAAATTGGAAATGGTATTTATCCCACTTCTCACAGAAAGCAAACAGTGTGGTGTAGGCTTGCCTGTCAGAGCCGAGCAAGTCTCTGTTGCTGTCCAGGTCTTTTCATCTCATCTCATCTGATCCTCTCTCACCTATCTGAGACGAGAATGTTGCTGGCACTGTCCAGGTCTTTCTATCTGATCTGATCTTTTCTTACCTGATCCTATCTCACCTGTCAGAGACAAGCACGTCACTGTAACTGTCCAAGTTGTTCTATCTGATCTTCTCTTTCCTAATCTTATTTTACCTTACCTTATCTGATCTTATCCTATCTCACCTGTCAGAGACAAGCACATCACTGACACTGTCCAAGTCTTCCTATCTTATCTTATCTGATCTGATCTTGTCTGATCCTACCTCACCTGTCTGAATATGCGCACCTGATACGCGCACATCGCTGTCACTTTCCAGGTCTTCCTATCTTATCTGATCTCCCCTTTTCTTACTTTATCTCACCCTATCTTACCTTATCTAATCTGATCTTACTTTCTCTTACTCTATCTTACCTTATTTTATCATACTTTATCTTACTTTATCTCACCCTATCTTACCTTATCTAATCTGATCTTACTTTCTCTCACTCTATCTTACCTTATCTTATCATACTTTATCTTACTTTATCTCACCCTATCTTATCTTGTCTGATCTTACTTTATCTCACCCTATCTTACCTTATCTTATCATACTTTATCTCACCCTATCTTACCTTATCTGATCTTACTTTATCTCACTTATCTTACCTTATCTGATCTTACTTTATCTCACCCTATCTTACCTTATCAGATCTTACTTTATCTCACCCTATCTTATCTTATCTGATTGTATCTCACCTGTCAGAGACGAGTACGTCGCTGTCACTGTCCAGGTCCTCCTCCAGCGCGGCCTGTAGGTCGGTGATTCTCTTGAGGGCCAGCTTGAGGTCTGACTGGTTCTGTTCCTGGTCGCCCTCCAGCTCCTCCACACGGGTCTCCTGTGTACACGGGAGAGAGGGTGAGAGAGGGAATGAGAGGGAGAGGGAGGAGGCAAGAGATGCAGGGAGAGGGAGGGAAAGAGAGGGAGAGGGAGGGAGAGAGAGACAGAGACAGAGAGAGAGAGAGAGAGAGAGAGAGAGAGCATGGAACTTGAGAAAAAAATTTAGAGCATGAAGGAGCCCGCCTGCTTTGATCCTCCCTATCACGATCCCAACAAACAAATCCTCTGGCTCTCCATCCTCCCACATCCTCCCCCTCATCCATCTCCTTCTGACACCCACCATCTCCCTCCTCCTCTGGTTCCCCCCCTCCGTACTTCTCTCCTACCACTCATTATCTCCCTCCCTCCACCCCTCTTGTACCACTCACCATCTCCCTCCTTCTCTGGCTCCCCTCCAGCTCCCTCTTCTGTGTATCCCCCAGCTCCTCGCGTAGCTCCCTCATCTGCTTCTGCGTCCTCTTGTTGACCTCCTCCAGGGAGAGCCTGGCCTGACTCAGCTCCTCCTTCTCCGCGGTCACTCGGTCCACCTGCTCCTTCAGACGCGACACCTGGCTCTGGGGGACACACAAACCACATCGAGAATCAGACTAGTAATTATAATAATAATAATAATGACAACAGCAGCGACAACAACAATAATAATATAATAATAACAATATTACTGCTACTGCTCCTCCTCCTCCTCCTACTATTACTAGTAATAACAACAATACTACTACTATTACTATTATTACTACTACTACTACTACTACTATTACTACTACTACTACTACTACAGCTGCAACACTAATAACAACAATTTCCCCCAACAGTTCTCACCTCCAGCCTCTGTTTGATGGTCCCCTCCAAGTCGAGGCGACTCTCCATGTCGCGGCCTTTGGTCTCTAGTCGCAGCACGGTGTGTTTGTCCACCATGGTCTCGTCGTACGACTGGACACGGGTCTGGAGGTCCGACACCTGGACACACACACACACGACACAGGATAAAAAGGTCATTAGTGTGAGTTTACGTCACTTGTAACACAATTAGGTCATATAAGTGCCGAAGATTTGAGGTGATATAAGAGAGTAACAATAACACAAAAAAGGAGGAGAGATAAGGACGATAGATGTTTGATAGGAAAGAAGGAGCAAATCACACCAGAGCACCTGCTTACCCTGTACATGTGTGTATGTGTGTGTGTGTGTGTGTGTGAGTGAGTATTTGTCGGTATATTGGTGTGTGCAGGCACAGGAAAAAAGTACATGTCCCTTATCTCTAGTCTGAACTTGTCTCGGAAGTGTGTATGTGTGTGTGTGTGAGTGAGAGTGTGTATGCGAGTGACCATGCGTGCGTGTGTGTGTGTGTGTGCGTGTGAGTGTGTGTGTGTGAGTGTGTGTATGCGAGTGAGCATGCGTGTGTGTGTGTGTGTGTGTGTGTGTGGGGGAGTGTGTGAGTAAGTGTGAGTATGTGTGTGTCCAAATAAAAGTGTAGACGCACATAGAAGAAGAGCACAAGACATCCCTCACCTCCTGCTTGAACCTGTCCCTCTCTGACATGAGTTCCTCAATCTGACTCATCTGGTCGGTCAGTGTGATCTGGTCCACCGATTGCTGGACACAAACAAACAATCAAAACAAATGTCAGACAGTATTCACTATACATTTTTTTTTTTAGTAAGAGTTTTACGGCACTTGCAACACAATAAGGTCATATAAGTGCCGAAGACTAGAGGTGTTACAAGCGAGTAACAAACACAAAAAAAAGAAGGATAGATCAGAATGATATAATAAGAAAAAAGGAGCAGACCACACCAGAACACCTGCCAACCACCCACTCACAATACATGGATTTAGTCCAATGTCTAAATTCCCCAGGATACACAGTCTACTTAGAATAATCATCCCTAGATTTGCAATAAAGAGTAATATCCTTTTTCAGAAATTTTCCTCCGTAACTCCTCTTCCTCTCTCCCTAATTTCTCTTCCCTGCCCTCCTCTCTCTCTCTCTCTCACATCTGTTGTACAGCTGCCTTGTATTTTTTCATGATGTCATTAAGTTCTTCCTCCACCTCTTCTCTCTCTCCCTCCTTCCCTCCTCTCTCTCTCTCTCTCTCTCCCTCCTTTCCTCCTCTCTCTCTCCCTCCCCTTCCTCTCTCTCACCTGTTGTACAACAGCCGTGTATTTTTTCAAGATGTCATGGATATCTTCCTCCACCCTTCCCTCCCTCCTCTCTCCCCTTCTCTCTCACCTGTTGTACAGCTGCCTTGTACTTCTTCATGATGTCATTGAGGTCCTCCTCAACCTCCTCCAGCCTCCCTTGAAGGTCCGCCTTCTCTCGCATCAGACCCATGCTCTTAGATTCCGCCTGAGGACACACACACACAAAATAACACACTTGTAAACAAACATATACTGATTTTTTTCTTAATGAACTTTAATAAGTGAAAGGTAGTACTTAACATCTCTTTTATATTTTGTTTAAGTAACGTTTTATGAAACTTGCAACACAATTTGGTTATATAAGAGCCGAAGATTAGATGTGTTACAAGAGAGTAACATACAAAAAAAGGAGGAGAGAGATAAATATGACAGATGTTTGGTAGGAAAGAAGAAGCAAACCAAAGCAGAGCACCTTCCAACCACCTACTATCCCTTATATCTAAGTGAATGAACTCCTAATAGCTATCTTCCTTTCGAGGTGTCAGGTCTGGAGTAGACATAGACGTTCATGGTACTAATGACTATAAAGCCTTCTTTCCCTCCACCTCCAACCAAAATGGCTATACGATGACTGATGAATCATTTTGGCAGTGCCTTAAAAAACAAGCTCAAACAAGACATGGTACCCCACCTCCTCCCTTAAACCCACTACCACCTCCCCTCTTCCCCTTGCTATCCCTCTCTCCCCCACCACACACAAACACTTCTCCTTATTGTCCACCCCAGCTGCTCTCTCAACTTCCCCCTATGGTCCACACTCCCCTCTCCCCCCC